TGGTGTGTCACACAGTCTACCCTGCTGTGTAATCAGCTTAATTGCAAATGTTCATTGCAGTGAGTCATTGGTGTGGTTTCAAGGCCTCTGGTTTCTGGTACTCCATCATCAGTGGATCCTCACCTAAACTCCTCTGATATCCTGAAGCCATTCTAAGTGATGGAGATCCTGTGGGCGTCTTTCCATAGGACCATTCCCTTCATGAGCTCCAGCAGGTCCTAGATGGGGTAGATGTTAGGGTGAGCCAACCCAAGGTCCAGCTGTGCACCTGGGGGGTAGCTGAGCTGGACAGTCCAGGCCACTGGGGCCACCCTGCCTCAGGCGAGGAGCAGGGCCATCTCCCCTCTGCCCATGCCATCAGGGTCAGTTTTCCCTAACCTGTGGTAAAGGGTGGTGTTGTGATATTTTATTTGTGCTGAAATGTGGTGATATTTTATTTGTATGATAATAAATAAAGTTTGCCTGGAGATCAGAGGACATAGATAGCCAGCCATAAACAAAAGTCAGGTGGTGGTAGTACATGCCCTTAATCTGATCACATTGTAGGCAGAGTCTCTGTGTGTGTTCAAGGACACAGCCAAGCATGGTGACACACACCTTAGAGACCTGGAGGTATGTATAGATAGGCAGTGATGAGGAAGTGATGTGGTTGGGCTAAGAGCCAATGAGAAGGCAGAACAGCAAGGCAATACAGGCCCAGGTTAGGCAGGAAGAAGCTGGTTTTCTTGGGAAGCTACAACGGCATGGTGAGCTAAAGTTAGCAAGTGACTATTCCTATTTCTCTGATTTCTATGGCTTTCACCCCTGTATTTGGCTCTGTGTTTCTTATTTAATAAGACTGTTTAGAAATTCGTCTACAATTGGTGTCCCATGCTGGGTGCCATTTGTAGCTGGAAGTTTTCCTGTGTCCCACCCAGTCCTGCAGCCACTCGAACCCAATTAAACACACAGAGGCTTATATTACTTACAAGCTGTTTGGCCTATGGCAAGGCAGCTTAGAGGCAGGCAGGAAATCCAAACAGATAAAAAGGAAGAGAAAGGAGAGGCAAGGCAGATGCTGTGAGCCGCTGCCAGGAGAAGCAAGATGTAAAGGGATTGGTAAGCCACAAGCCATGTGGCAAAGTATAGGTTTATAGAAATGGGTTAATTTAAGATATAAGAGCTAGGTAGCGAGAAGCCTGCCATAGACCATACAGTTTGTAAGTAATATAAGCCTCTGTGTGTTTAATTGGGTTCGAGGGGCTGCAGGACCAGGTGGGACACAGGAATAATTCCAGCTACAGGATGGGGCCATCTCTCCCAAGTGCAAGGTGCGTGGAAGGGGGGATAGCTCTCACATCGGGGTTGGGGACAGCTCTCTGCTGCAGTGTCCATTGAGGGACAGGGCCAGCTTTCCCAGGGCCCATGAAGGGCTCAACATAGCCCTCTGATTTAATCACCCATGATTCCTGTGGCTCCCTGTGGGTAGTATAGACATTTAAACAACATTCTTCTAATTCATGAACAAAGAATGTTGTTTCATTTTTTGTATATATTCAAATATGTATATATTTGAGACTTGATTATATCATGCTCAAGCTATATAGAACTTGCTGTGTGAGCAATCTAGCCCTGAACTCACATAGGTTGGCCCTTCCTGGCTACCAAGGCACTTAGATTTAAAGAAGCACGCCACTATATTCTGCAATGTTTCACAGTTTTATTATAGAGATCTTTCACCTTTGGTTAAATTTGTTCCTAGTTACTAATTTATTTGTAAGATCAATCTCACTCTGTGAGATTGTTTCCTTGATTTCGATATCAGATAACTTGCCATTGCTATGTACCCACACTATTGATTGTTGTGTGTTGGTTTTGTGACCTGAAAGTTTGCTAAGTTGTTTATCAGCTCCAGTAGCTTCTCTGGTGGGAGTTCTGATTCTTGGACAATACACAGAGCTTCATGTGCAGATCCATACAGTGTGGGAAGGATCCAGTGGGTGAGGACACGTGGGTCCGGACGTAAAGACAGCTGTGCCAATGGAGCATCTTGGTGTGCCTTCATCTGCAGAGTGTACCGTTGGGTGGTTCAAATCAACGTTCACATAGCTGTGAAAGGGAGGCTGGTCCTGCTGGCACTGGGTCATGTGAGAATAACTTTGATGGTGTGGTCAGGTGAGAAGCCTGACACAAGGTTGTTTCTGAGTGAGTCAAAGACAAGAAAACAGAAAAGCGTTGTGTGACTGATTCTTCTAAATCACAATAGTATAGAGAATCCAAGTTAGCGATGAAATACTGCAGCTCTTGTAACTAAGGTAACAGGACACAGCGGATACTATAGAAAGGAAAAAGAAGAAAAACAAAACATTAAGGAATTTCCAAAGCAACATGTATTTTAGATTCAAATTCTCCTGTTTTAGACTTTTGGGGTCTGTGTTTCTCATGTTTCTTCTCATGTTTTTTCCTTTGAGGTTGGATAAAAAAATGGGCTGACTTACAAGCTTTGAGGAAACTGAACAAAGTAACATGCAGTTCTCAGGGTAATAAAATAGGTAAGGAGGCTTCAACTGTGAGACGTGCTATCCTGGCTGCTTTTCTGTGTCAATGTGACACAAGCTAGAGTCATCAGAGAGGGAGGAGCCTCAGCTGAGGAAATGCCTCCATGAGATCTAGCTGTAAGGCATTTTCTCAGTTAGTGATCAATGGGGGAGGGCCCAGCCATTGATGGGTGGTGCCATCCTTGGGCTGGTGGTCCTGGGTTCTGTAGGAAGCAGGCTGAGCTAGCCATGGGGAGCATGCACTCCTCCGTGGCCGTTGCATCAGCTCCTGCCTCCAGGTTCCTACCCTGTTTGAGTTCCTGTCCTGACTTCCTTTAGTGATAAACAGCAATGTGGAAGTGTAAGCCAATTAAACTTTTCCTCCCCAATGATATTTCGTTGCAGCAATAGAAACTTTAATGAAGACAAATGCTGATGTCATTTATGGTTAGTTTCTACTGGGGAGATTAAAGAGGTGTCAGAATTAGGAATCTTATAGAAAACCCCCACACAGAAATAAAACAATGACAATGGCCTCTTTGTAAAATGAACTCAATTTTTCTTGTCCTGTTCTATTCTATTATTCTGGGGAGGAGTGGAGGGTAGACGTGAGCTAAGGTGTGCATAAGGAAGTCAGAGGACAGCCTTGTGGAGTCAGTTCTCTCCTTCCATCTTTAAGTGACTGCTGGGGATTAGATGTTCACCTTGTGGCAAGTGCTTTTTACCTGCAGAGCTCTGTAAGCTGTTTTCTTCAGCTCTGTAAACTATGTTCCTAAAGTTGGACCATAACTTCATGGGATGACACCTTTAGTTCTGTGTTGTATAAAAATAATGCTAAGATATTTACTACCTTAATACTTGCAGGATCATGTATTTTATACGTCAGCAATAAAGCCACATTCAGAGGGCAGGGGAGGCTCTGAGCTCCTCAGAGATTCTTTGTGCAGCAATTGTAGCAGTGACAAGCTGTCTGTCCTCACCCCCCCCCACACACAGATTAAAATCGACTTTTACCATTGCCCGTTTTTCATGAGCTGAATTGCTTCATTGACCTTATCGAGAGTCAGGGTGTGGGTAATCAGTGGATCTAGGTTAAACTTCTTTGCCGTATAGTCAGAAACCAGCTTAGGGATTTCCTCCTTGGTTTTCCAGCCTGGAAATACACAAAAGAACACAGACTTATGAAAGACTCTACCCATGAGATTTCAGTATAAAAGAAACGTCATGTGGGGGATGAGGCCATGTGTGGATTTGACAATACTATATATGCATATTTGAAATTCTCAAATCATAAAAAAGAGATTAGGGAAAAAAGAAAGGAAGGAAGATAGGAAGGATGACAGGAAGAAAGATTGGCCATGTCAAACTGCTAGAGTTGTTTTGCTGTTCCATCAATTGCTCCATCAGGATGAGTGCTGTTCCAACCATACAGACCACACCTAGGGTTGTGCTCTTCCAGAGACCTCTGATGCCTCTGACACAGAGGGCATAATTCAAAGCCAATAGAAAGTAAATTTTGTGATGTTCCCAGTGCTAGGTTGTAGTGTCTGTAGATCGGTGAATTCAAACCTAATGTATAATGAAGGCCACAGTCCTGGGATGATTAATGAATTAAAAGGTTAGAAATAGGGGCTGGGAAGTAGTTCAGTTGGGAGAACATGTGGCTGAGGCATGAGGCTCTAGGTTTGCTCTTCAGCACTACACACTCTAAAAGCATAGAAGTGTGTGTGTGTGTGTGTGTGTGTGTGTGTGTGTGTGTGTGTGTGTGTGTGTTGACATGCAGCTTCATGAACAAGCCAAATAAGAAAATTAATGTGTATGAATTACTAAAACGTGTCCTCTGGGGTCAACTTAAGCAACATTAGCCTTGCAATTGTATTTTCTCTATTCTCGTGAGTTTTCAAAAGTGTATATATTTCACACTGTGCTAAGTACCTTGGTCAATGAGTCACAACCAGAGTTTTCTGGCCTCCTGTGTGGAAGAGGTGAGCATGCTGTAGCTGCAGGGTGTGATCTCCTGTACCCTGCTTAGTGCCCTCTGCTCGTAACTGTGTCATAGGACTTGGTCAGCTGCTTGATTTTTTTTTTTTTAAGAAAAAAATAGATATGACTGGAGAGGTGACTCAGTAGTTAAGAGCATTGGATGCTCTTTCAGAGAACATGGGCACCGGTCCATCCACCCACATGGCAGCTAACCACTGTCTGTCACTCTAGTTCCAGGAGAGCTGACATTCTCTCCTGGCCTCCATGGGCATAAGGCATATGGATACTAGGAACTCTGGTCCTTGGCACAACATACATGCTCATAACTGCTGGGCTGTCTTTGTGATCCTCATGCTTGCTTTCCTTCATTCCAATTAATGTCGGCCTCTCTAGCCTTTCAACCCACTCTCAAAACTGCCCCAAACTCTTCCAACAGATGTATTTTAAAAGTTAATTATTCTGTATGTAACCCCAAATTCTAACTAGTGTTATCTGTTGCAGCCTATGAGTCTCGTCTATTTTTCTTTTGTTTTTATTGGTGATCTACTGAAGCATTTTGGTATGTATGTAAAAACCATTGTTGTTATCTATTACTTCAGTGGGAGAACACTAAGAAAGGCACTGGCTGGGAGGTGGTTCAGCGGGAGGAAGTCCTTGTGGGGAAAGCCTGGAGAACTGAGTTGGATCCCTGGAAGTCTTGAAAGGTGGTCTGAAGAACTTACTTCACAAACTTGACTGTTGACCTCCACATAAGCACTGAGGTGCTTACACACCTCTTACACACACACACACACACACACACACACACACACACACACACACACCACACACACACACACACACACACACACACACACACTTGATAAAATATAAAATAAAGTGAAATGAATAAAGAAGGAAGGTCCTGGGTACATAGACAAAATTAGGCAGTGTTTTTCGAAAAACAAAGAAAGGCTGTGTTGTTTCTCAGCGAGGGCACTAATTGAATTTTGAATAGGGGAAGTTCTTCCCTGTACACACTGTAGGAGGTTAGGCGATCTGTCTCCCCAACATTAGTAACACCCTTGATTGGAAGCTGTAAAACCAGAGGACTATACTCTCTATAGGGGGAATTCACTTCATTAATGATTGTTGAATGAATGTTTAAGTGCTTAAAAAAATTGGCTCTTTATAAGGGTTGTTCAAGATAACGTGATCTTATGTTACAAAGCTTAGTTGGACACATGCATTTGGAATGAACACCATCATAATAAATACAACATGGGGAAGCAGCGGTGGTGTTTATCCAGTGATCCAAGTAGAGGAACTGAACAGCTAAAGTGTTCAGCTGAATTAGGACTCCTCCCCGCCCCCCATAGGTCTTTTTGCTCACTGTACAAATGAAGTGGCTAACACTCCAAATGCCTGACAATTCATTGCCACTGTTAACTTGGAGATCACAGTTCCCAGTGCTCAGAAAACTCCTAATTTCATGTTTTTGTTCAAGAACTCATACCACCTAGAGTCTTCTTAAAAATCAAACTGTGGTCTGGAGAGATGGCTCAGCAGTTAAGGGCACTAGCTGCTCTTTCAGAGGACCCAGGTTTGATTTCCAGCACTCATAGGATGGCTCACAACTGTCTATGACTCTAGTTTCAGAGGACTGGATGTTCTTTTCTGTCCTCTATGGGCACCAGGCCCCCAAGTGGTACACAGACTTACATGCAGGCAAAACACCAATATACATTAAAGTAAACAGACATTAAAATCTTAAACAAACAACAACAACAACAACAAAAAACCCATTAGGTTGTTTGCAGATGAGCCCAGATCCTATGCAGGAATACATAATTTCATTTATTTCCTACTTTAAATAAAAGTCTTCTAAAGTCTTTATGTTTTAAGTAATGGAAACTAAAGGATTCCATGAAATGATTTATTTCTCTGGATAAGAGAATTTGCATTTTCTTATTATTAAAGTACCTCCCCCCTCTGGTAATATTCCTTGAAAATTATGAATCCATCATTTTTAATACTGTTGAGTTGGCATATTGGCAGCTCATCCATCTAGGATAAGATTATTATACTGCTTTGATAATGACTACTAATAGTTGAGCATATACCTGAAAGAATCGCAGTGGACATTTATATAATCTAGCTGGGGTACAGGTGGTTTCAATACTGTTGAAGTTTGGGTAGTTTTGAACCTAGGACTTCAGCAATTGACACGAACATTGTGTCACTGAGCTACATCCCCAGCACCTAGAGTGTTGTGTTGTTTGTTTTACAATTCAAAAAACAAAATCTCATCTCTTTCTTTTTTCCTCTCCTTGCATGAAATAAAGCTTATGAAGAGACAGAGGACATAGCTAATATCTACTTCTTAACTTGAGTTTTAAATATTGAAACAAGAAGTATAATCTAGAATTGACTGATGTTTTTTCTCAGGCACTTCTGACCCGCTTTTCTATTTCCTCCTGCTAGCTCCTCATTTTTAGTATTCAGTTTCTTCTGTACATACCTCCTAAAACTGACCCTTTTAGAGTACGTCCCGAGAAGAACAAATGACTATTGATGTTGAGCTGAATCCAAGATGCTAATGATCCAACAATCACACAGACTCCATGATCCTTGTGGCAGGAGGCCAGGGCAGTTTCCTGTTGTAAAGCAATGTAAGACAGAAAAAGGATAAAACCACCTACTTCAGAGTTGGACCCACTCTTATTCAGCTTGACTGCTTAATGACCTATGACTTCCTTTCTGATTTTCCTTGTTCTCTTTGAAATAGCATCAGTATTATGAAGATGTTCTATAACATAGGTAAGATATTGTTTTTGTTTAGAATAGTGCTTGGTATTTTAGGATTCAACAAATTGAATAAAGATGAAGATCATTATAGACCATTGTGGTAATAAAGATAACAACAGTTTTTGTAAGACTTATGATGTGGGCAGTTGTTTTGAGTTAATGTTTTCCTTTTAGGTTTCAAAAGGGACAGTCAGATGTTTGTATAATATGACATGCTAATAAAGTGACCACCCACAACCTTCCCATTAGTCATTTTCAAAGGCCATTTCTCAGAACAAGACTGGGATAAAGGTTTTGCTGTATGGTTCCTCAGATTGTGGTGAACTGTAAGAAATTTTGAATTCTGGGGAAAAGACCCGGGTTTGAAGGGACTCCTCTTTGCTTTCTATGTAACTTCCTGGAAATGGATCCATGGAACAATAATGCATCATTCCTTCAAGAGCAAAAGAAAGCTTTCCTCATAGTCTGGTGTGACTGCCTTTCATGTTTATCTCCATATGTTAACCATGTTCAGGCAGAAAAATCCCTACTCTTTTTTCTTCATTTTTTTGAAATGACCCATTTAATCAAATGAGGAAATGCTTTTCTTGGTTCAGAAGCTCACATCTAACATGAAAGACTTTTATCAAAAGTAAAAAAGCTCATTGTTTTCTAGGACAGTTTAGTGGTGCTTTCACTTAAGTGTTCTGGCTTGAAAATCATAGTCATCTCAGGCTACCTGTGGTTGTGTAATCTCTGTCTGGTGGTTCTTTATGCTTAATTGAAGGAAAATAATTTTGGAATAGAGGGATAAACAAATTCAATAGCAGAGTTGTAGGTTCAGTCGGAAAGTAAATAAACAGAATGTTCTAGTGGGCATGACATGGACCACAAGGAAAATTAAATAGAGGAATGAAGAAGGATTTGTAAGATATTCATTCAATTAAAATATTAAACAACAACTGATATAATATACTGGTAATTTTCACTTCCAAAGATCACATACCACTGTTTCTGGGTTTCCAGTGACCTCAAAGGTGAAGTCTGCTCCATCATTCATCATATCAAATAAGACTTGTTGAATGGGTTTCTCAAAGTCTTGTGGGTCTATGCACTCAGTGGCACCCACTGTCTTGGCCTTTGCAAACTTGTCTTTGTTGGTGTCCACAGCGATGATCCTGGCTGCTCCTGCTGCTTTACAGCCCATGATGACAGACAGACCAACACCTCCAAGGCCAAACACAGCACAGGTGGAGCCTGGAGACACCTGAACACAAAGGCAGACAGGAACATGAACGTTCCCCTCTATGGTAAATAGTGATACCAAGTCTCATGCTAAGAAGGAAGCTTCTACCAGTGAGCTGTTCCCCAGCCTTCTGTGTCCTTACTGAAGGAAAGGACATTTTTAGATAAAATACATCTAGAGAATTTTAGTTTCTCAGACTGTTTCTTGGTGTGTGATACTTTTACTGCAGGAACAAAAACCTACCTACAAGGAGAGAATTTCAAGTCCCAGGATGGAATCAGCATGAATGAAAGTAATGTAACGAAATTTTGCTGGAGGCCATCGAATATACAGCAGATGACAACTAATATTCAACAGTGCGACCCACCAGAAGAATCAACTCTCTGTTGGGGAGCCCCACTAGGCAAAGGCTGGGGGTCACTGGCTGTGGACACCGATGGTTTCTGTCTGTAACTTCCTCATGTGCTGCCACAGTTTCCTCCTAAAAGAACCGCTGTGGGATTCTCTCCACAGCCCATTGGTGGTGTGGTTTACACTTTTTGGGCAAATTTATCTGTAGATAGTCAGAAAGATGATTTCTTCTTAAGCTGTATAATTTTGATGAATAGAAATAATACTAGACTGACTATTTTTTATAGCTCAGGCTGATGTAGGAAAATAACAATATTCTCAGCTTTTTACACTATTAGCTGATTTAAAGACCTCAGAGCAAATTCAAAGCAGACTAGTTGTCCCTGCAAATAAATTGCACAAGGACAGATTCCCAAGTGTCTGGTTGTTCAACCAAGTTGCTTCAGGTATGAAGCAACTTTAGTGCCAGCTCTTCACTTGAAAAAGTCTGGCTGACAAATTAAAGACATAACTTCCTGCACAGATTCTCTCAGCTATTGACTCTCTGCACATACTTCTAGCATCACTTGTATAATGCAGGACTCAAGGTTTAGCCAACTAACTGTTTATGTTTAGGTCCCAGGACACTTTTAATGTCATTGTCCTTTCAAAACGTGCAGAGTACTCCAATGCTACATGCCTCCCTCCTTGCTTTATGGACTACACATCAGGGAACTTGGCTGACAGCCCAGAGTTGCCATGGTTACTCACCATGCCCGGTCAGCAAGATATCTCTAGCCTGAGAGAAACTGTGTGATTTCTCATGTGTTCTCAGAATTGTTCTGTTTCCTATTGTTTACTCAAGAAATGTTATGTGATGCAGTGTGGCACCTAATTGAATATCTTCCAACCTGATATAGTTTGCATTTTGAACATGCTCTAAAGACACATGTAATAATGGCCTACTCCTCAGCCCTTGGCATCTTAAGTAGCAGAACCTTCTGAAGGAGTCCAATGGAAGGAAAACATCATGGGCATATGCCCTAAGGGGATTTTACGGCACCAGCTCTCCTTTGTTTTTGTTTCCTATTTATAATTTTTCTGATCCTGGATACCATGAGATGGTCAGTTTTGTCCCACTCTACATTCCCTGCCATGACTTTCTGCCCCAAGGTTGCCCCCAAGACCACCCCACAGACTAAAATCTCTGAGGCAAT